GACCCTGAGATCATGACCTGAGCCGAAGGCAGACGCTTAACCATCTGAGCCACCCAGGCGCCCCTCAACAGACTCTTAATCCCAGAGCTGAAAGGAGGAAGTGCTAGGGGAGAGCGTGACCACCACAGCCAAGCATTAGTTCAGACTCTATCGCTCCCTGAAGGTGGATCTCAGTAGCCACCCTTGTTACACTATCCTCTGCTCAGATTAGACCCCATTACTGAGAGTTGTTCAGATTTCCATCCTTATTCTCTATTTCTGTTGTAAAATTACTCCTCCTCTTCACACCGTCTCTTTAGCCATCCCCCCACTCCAAGTTCCAACTTGAAACACTGAAAATTTGAAACTCCAGTTTGAAACACTGAGATAAACGGAAGGAATTTTACTAAGAAACTGAGGGACAAAAATTGTGAGGTTACAGAGCACAATATTTTATCCTTAGGCAACTGAAGTATACTTGACATTAACTGAGCCTCTCTGGGTTGGTTGCTACAACCATTATTCAGAAATCTCAGCCTGCTTCCGGTTGGAAATGCTATCTTCCTAGCATTGTTGAACACTTGGTTTTTTCTGGAGCCTACTTCTGGATAATTGGTGTCCTCCCTGCTTCTTGACTCTCTGTGTGAGAAAAGTACTTTGTCATCTGAGACGTGTTCTTTTTCTGTACTTTTTAGCAATCCATAGTCGTCTCATTTTTGTCTCCTTATTGTCTGTATAGCTCTGGTTTGTAAAAAATCCTGTCTCCCCCTTGATCCTGAGGGAGAGCAGGATGTGCCATCCCAAAATGGGCCACTTTGCCATGTGGATTATTTTGAGCTGAAGGCAGTGAAGAGCCAAAATACTCAGAAAAAATATTTTACCTCTCCTTTAACTGACTAAAAGAACTTATACAGTAGGGGAGCCACTGGGTAGCTCAGTCAGTGGAACGTCTGACTCTTGATTTTGGCTCAGGTCAGATCTCAGGGTCGTGAAATCGAGCCCTACGTTGGGTTCCATGCTCAGCATGGAGTCTGCTTGAGATTCTTTCTTTCCCCCTCCCCCTGCTCATGCTCTCCGTCTCTCTCTAAAATAAATAAATAAAATCTTAAAAAAAAAAGAACTTATATGGGGGCATGACCCAGTTACCAGATATAACTTTTTTATCTAAAAGATTTATCTGCATGGTAGGGCAAACGTTTGATTACCAACCATCTGCTCTTCTGATCTTCCTGTGAATTGTCCTATTTCCCACTGAAGCCCCAAGCCCCTATTTCTCATTCCTTAGCTCAATTGCCTGGCTGCCTTTGAGTCTCATTGTCTTTGCAGGGCTCCCAAATGTATGTAATTAAAATTTTCTCCTGTTAATCCATCTTATGTCAATTTAATTATTAGACCAGCCAAAAAACCTAGAAGGGAAGAAGGGAAAATTTTCTGTTCCTATAATCCTTATCTCTCATTTTTTGGCTTTTCTGAAGAATTGCCATTATCCTGGATATCAAGGTTGATAGTTGTATTTAGTGACGCTCTGCTTGTCTTCACTGGTTGACATCATGTGGTACTTGGTTGAAGAATCAAAGGCAAGCACCATCTTGATTTCATTCCCTTTTCCTTCCAAGTGAGATCCAATTCTTGTACCCTCTCTGAGTCCCCTATATTTAAATTCCAGCTTTCAATCCCATTTAGTTTTTAAGTGTATATAATACTAACTGGAATGCCCCGAGTTCAGTAAGTGTACAGTCTCTCATCAGAGTCTTAATTATATTAACATTTTAGACATTCTCCCTCTTTGTCTTAGATTTATTTGAGAGAGAGAGGTGGCAGGGGCAGAGGGAGAAGGAGCGAGAATCTGAAGCCAACTCTGCAATGAGCGTAGAGTCTGATTCGAGGCTTGGTCTCATGACACCGAGATCCTGACCTGAACCGAAACTAAGAGTTAATGCCTTAACCAACTGCACCACCCAGACGCCCCTAACATTTTAGACATTCTAATTACCAGTTTCCTTAGCTATGATTTTGTACAATTCTAACGATTACAATTTGAAAAAATCAAAAGATCTTATACAAACAACACAATAAAAAGATGATTTTCTCAAAGATTATCTGCAGCAGTCATTTTGTTCTCAACTTTTTATTACAAGAATTTTCAAGGATGCCTGGGTGGCTCAGTTAAGCGTCTGCCTTCGGCTCAGGTCATGATCCCAGGATCCTGGGATCGAGTCCCGCATCGGGCTCCTGCTCAGCAGGGAGTCTGCTTCTCCCTCTGCCTGCCGCTCCCCCTGCTTGTGCTCTCTCTCTCTCAGACAAATAAATAATTTAAAAAAAAAGAATTTTCAAACATAACATTCATTATGTTTCATTTTGCCATACTCATTTTAATCGATATTTTTTTTTCTGAATCATTTAAAAGTAAGTTGCAGACATCTTAACATGTTACTAGTGAACACTTTAGCACGTATCTTTTTAAAAGTAGATCTTAGGGGCGCCTGGGTGGCTCAGTCGTTAAGCGTCTGCCTTCGGCTTGGGTCATGATCCCAGGGTCCTGGGATAGAGCCCCGCATCGGGCTCCCTGCTCAGCAGGAAGCCTGCTTCTCCCTCTCCCACTCCTGCCAACTGAGCCACCCAGGTGCCCCTAAGTTTTTTTATTATTTAATGTAAGTTCTATGCCCAACATGGGGCTTGGACTCACAACCTCGAGATCAAGAGTCCCATGCTCTACTGACTGAGCCAGCCAGGTGCCCCTGTCTTTTTTTCTAATTAGCAAGTAATTTTGGTGACACTTTGGCGCCTAGCCCAGTAACCTGTTCACCACTAACCTTTTTTTTTTTTT